GGGTCGGAATTTAATATTTGTTCGTCATTAGCAGGGTACTGAGGGTCTGAGCGATCTAGAGGCATTAGCCGTGAATTCTGACGCCCCTTTTAGTATATAAAGCCACATACAAAAGAGACCCAGATGAAATTAAGACCCGCACAAAGTTCCGTACTCGCTCACTTCAAAACGTTCCCCATTTCATTTTATGTTCGTAGCAGCAATCATATTTATTCTGTAGTATAAGCCTGAAGGTTAAGCCTTCGAAAATGTAGTGTGTTCTAGAAACAACAGAAGAATAATTCGAATGAATCTTGCATCAAGAATTACAGCAATGTTATTAGTTCGAACTATAGTTGTTTTTTCTTCTTATTTTTTATACCGCTAATATTTTAAAGGTCCGGAACATTATCAATTTCTTTGGTTTATTGTTTTGAGTTAACTGTAAGGCGCCAACAACTGATTATATTATTATTGACGGTAAAGACGTGGGATCTCGAAGCAGACCAGTTACTTCAGATTAAGAGCCGCTCAAAATTACCAGATCATAATTACTACACATTTATGTAACAATAAAGCCTAGTATATCTGAACTGAAATCTTGATGCTTTGTCTCCTAACAATAACGTTAGATAGAGGTAGAGAATTTTACAAGGCCGTCATGGGCTCATGCGTCCAGGTTTAATATCTTAGTACGATTAGTCTAAGCCACCGGTCCATCTGCTCGCTTTTTGTGTAAGAAAGTGTCGCAGAATCTAATTAAGCCAATGAACGAGATGTGGTCAAAGGAATACTCATTGTCTGGAATTCTAATAACGCTGACGATGAGGAAGGCGTCCGTTGTTCATATAAGTAAACAATCTTTAATATTCAGCTGTCCTTATTTTGTTTATCGTTCATGAGTTCGGACCTAAAGGCAGGACAAACGTTATACAATTGTTTTTTTGTCCCTACGACTTCGCTGGTAGACTTACGGGATATTCCAGCTTCTTGCGAACGGGTAGCCAGGCTCACGAGTTCAGCCTTTTTTTTTCTACCTATGCTGATAGCCTTGAGAGGCTATTTCAGCTTCTCCTTAACGTGTCTGTCGGAAACGCAACCCACTGAGAAAATCCGGTGAGAAAGTCAGCGGGCTGCGGTTATGGGTTAATCTACTCGTCGAGCCCTTCATCGCAAGCGACGGGTTCAGCAAAGAAGGTGACCGGTGTTTGAGGTACCTCCTCCTCCTCGAGTCGTGTTCCTCATGTCTGAGGGTCGTGACCACCATCACCCTTTTTGAGGTACCTAAAACACCGTTAATGGATCGGGAGGACCCGTAATGACGTTTTTTTTTATTGCCGCAGTGGCTCCAGTTAGTATGGATGAACTCTACTCCGGTGGCGGGCGGTGCGATGGTAAAAACAAGATGCCGGTATCATCTCGAACAATTAATTCCTCAGAGCACTCCCCATGGAAAATACGGTAGAAAATACAGAGGGAACTGAAGTCCCTCCGCAGACCCAGAGGTTTCAAACGATCCGTGAGAATGGGATTATCGACAATCCGAACGGCCCTCCTCTGTAGGCAGACGAGCATATGGCCCACCTGATGGTAAGTGGTCACCGTCGCTCATGGACGTCAGCAATGCCAGGGGCAGACCCAAGCCGCTGCCTACCATAAAAGTGTATGTTCAGTCGTTCAGTCGAAGAGAATTTGCTAACACTAGCCCTAGCAAGAGCAGTGCCTTGAAGGATCTACCACTGGATCGGAATCCCAACCTTCTGAGAGTATCCGGCTTGAAACTCAGTGGGCCTCAAAGCGGCATTGACTATGTGGTGGTGTGAACGATGTGATGGTGGTGTGGACGGTGTGGTGGTGGTGTGGACGGTGTGGTGGCGATAATGGAGTAACACCATGTGGCCTTGAATTCGTTAACTAATCATAAAACAAAACGTAATGACCACAGTTTCCATTGTTATTTATTTAAGAAGCAGTTGGACATTTGAAATAAATCAATTAGGTAGGTACATCGGTTTCTTGTAAATTCAATGTTTTACAGAAACCAATATTGATTAGTTGGTTGAGTCTACACTGCAAATGTCGTTTGCTCTGAACAAATCTAATCAAGTTTGTACTTAGTTGGCTGAGATACGTATCATATACGAGTCTCTTGACTCGGTCTTTGGCATTTAAAATCGATGTCAGCTTATATCGTATCGTATTATCAGCGTCTAGTCTTAGTAGCAGATTAAAAAAAAAGAAAAATATTACTGTTGTATTGTTTTAATTATTCGTAATACTGGAATATCATTTTCTACCATTTGTTTTTGTATTTTTTTCTATCGATAAAGTTTTAATTCAATATTTTTTTAGTATTTTCTTTATACATGTTTAATGGTTTTTGTGATCATAATAATAATTACAATCGTTTTTACAAGCAGCACCTGTTTTGGTTTCTGTATTACCATTATTAAGTAGTAGAATAATCTATTCTTTTACCTGTTACCAGGATCAGGCTGTATTACTAATTAATATATTAATGTAATTGTATTAATGAATGTTTGTTGATAATATTTTGTAAATGTAATAAATGTAAATTAGAATTATCAATATACCTATAATTATACGAATCATCACTGTTCAATGTTTATAATTAATTACCAGGCAATTTACAAATATTCATAATGACGGTTCGCGCGGCCGGCTCTGTCTGTACCGGCGTTGATAATGAGACCTGAAAATCGTTAATAGGATTATACCGACAAATTGGATATTAAACATAAGCCGGCCTAAGTTGGTGGTGGACACAGCAAGCATCCGTAATTAGCAGTAACTAAAGGATCGAGTCGGCGTCTCATTAAAACTGGTTTAACTCCGGAGCGGTTTACTCTCCGGCTTCACGTTGCAACCTCCCGGATTGTAACTACCTAAGGCTTTGTTATCCTTGTGAGGGCTCAAATTCAGCAATAGCAGCACCGTGCGCTTCGTCATCGAGTTTATTTAAATGACGCTTAAGTGTGATCATTAGTTGGTGTACGTTTTTACGAATACTAGTGGCCCCTCAATAGTCGAAATTCGACAATAATTAATTGAAATTATAAGTTTGTACACTAATATGATTCTTGTGTCAAAGACTCTTAAACTTCTATAATCACAGATTCGCCAAGACTACACTTTAGACAAATATTAATAGAGGCAAACAATGATGTATTTTAAACTATTCTCAATTTGACCACAGACTATAAGCAATAAGAAAAGTTTGACAATAAACAAATGGTATGCATGCGTGTGTGTGTCAAATACATGGCAATGTGTGTAATGTATTTTTTATTGATTTTAATGTATTTTTTATGCATAAATTATAAAAATATTAACATTCTGCACTTCTTTTCTATATTCTCTATAAGTGTGGGAACTTTCATACTCTTTCGTCCGCGCAATTTTCGTAAAAAAGGGGTACAAAGTTTTTGCTTCACGTATTAATATATAGATTGTCGTGTTGAAAATCTTTATTGATCGTTTCGGTAATGCGATTTGTTATGACTGGATACTTCTTTCGATTTCAATTTGAATAATATAATGTATATTTAGTAAAAAATTCTTCGGCATCGGAGCGATTTTAAATATCAAAACTCCACTAAGCCAAGTTGATATCGCGCGGTACGAGGTGCGCGGTACATAAATTTTCACTTAAATCCAGGCAAATGCAGACCTGTATTTTACTGGACGTAAAAATAAATTAAAACACGCCCGATGGCGGCGTGAACAACACGAAAGTAGATCTGTCGGGTATTATTGTACTGAATAATTAAACGTCCTACGAAGCTTTCGGTCCAGAACGTCAGATTATTGAGTCCTTACATTGAAAAGTTCCCCTGTTTAATTAACAATTAACGTTTAACGACACCGAACGTTTCTGATCAGAATTTCGTATTAATTAATTTCGACTCGCGCAATCGTAAAAGGCACTTATCGTTTTCAAGTTATAGAGAACTAATCCGTAATCATCAAATACTTGTTACCGTTCGTTCCCAAGTCAACCGAATTCGTATTTAATGCTCTGGGAAACTGATAAAAAAACAAACGATCCGAACTTCGAAGTCAAATATTCATAGTTTCATAATACGATTTAGAGATGTTCGTAATGTACTTTGAATATATAGAAAGTAGCGAGAGAATGTGTCGCAAGTTTTTAGATGAAACACTAATTTTCGTTACACATGTGACATTGAATATGAAGTATAAACAAGCGTATTTATAAATGATTTTGTTTTTAGTTTTATATATTTAAATACCGAACTTGTTAGCTTTCTTTCATGGCTTCTACTGTTGGTAAATGTATGAAATATAAAACCAATGACTTTTTTTGGAAGGGAAGAATTACTAGTAGCCCGAAGCCTTTTTCAGTTTCACCAGGAACGGTGGGCGTGCAAAGGCTCAGCCAGGACAGATGGTGATTGCTAACAACCACCCGAGCGTCTCTGGAGGAGACAACTCAAGAGCATCTGTTTCGCGAAAGCATCTACTTCCGAATCGGAATCGCGATCCGCTGAAAAGATCCGACGAGAAACTCAGCGGGCGTATAGGTACGATTATCGGAGTCCCCAAGTCTGCTCCTAGTGCTAGAGCCGAAGGTATCTAAAGCTAGAGTTACTGGATCTGATGGTGACTGGCTCCTGTGTTATCAGGATTCGGGGAGTAGTCAGCGACCGCAACGATAAGGCGACTATCATGACGCACAGCTTATCGAAGGACCGTTCCGACGCTGACTTCATGTATTTCTCTTGTCTAAGCTAATATATCAGTACACGGTGCTACACAATACAGTAAAATATTATGATAAAGGCACTTTTTAAAAGATTAATCGCAAATTGAGTAACACAAGTTATATACTAATATATATTTTACATATATTAAATATATGATTAAATTAATTTAAATTGAATGACACGCGAAGAACATATATCTATTGTATTTATCTCTTGTATATATCCTTGTTGGAAAGCCAATATAAATAAATGAGGCATCAATATGAAACTCACCTGTAGTACAATAAAGATACCAGGGCATGTAGGAGAAGATTGACTAGATGATAACCCGCTGGCTGTAGTCCGTGAACGGCATAATTCCACCTGAAGGTCAGGACCGTCAGTGGGCGATACGACTTGTGGGACTGCTCCTGTGAACAACAAAATAAATGTATTAATAATGGATCCATAACGCTCGTTGCCAAGTAGAAAAACGATCTTGCGTGCATCAAATTAAAGTATGAATTCGTTGCGTAATAAATAAAGTTACTACAGTCAGTAGCTTAATTTAGGTAGATACATATTTAGGTAGCTTAGATTTGGATTAGCTTAGATAGTCTGTCTTTTGAGCTCACATGTGTTGCTAAAATCATCCTGATTTTTTTTATTGCTTAGATGGGTGGACGAGCTTACAGCCCACCTGGTGTTAAGTGGTTACTGGAGCCCATAGACATCTACAACGTAAATGCGCCACCCACCTTGTGATATAAGTTCTAAGGTCTAAGTATAGTTACAAAGGCTTTTTTTTTTTTCGAGCCTAGGGCCGAACCTCTTACGAGGTCCCCGCGCCTAGGGGGCGCGTGGGGTGACTTAACGATCTGCAGGTGTTGAGAGCAGATCGCGGGCCCAAGGATTTTAGGGCCCACCCACTAAACGACTCCCCTGCACTCTTACACCCGACGTCCGATCTCCGTCCGGGGTCAGAACCTGGACAAAGTAGGGGGGTTCCCGCGGTCAACACTACAACCAGACACGCGGCGCCACCCCGAGGACGCCCGACCGACGGGTCGTCGAGGCGATAGTCGACGACCAACGACGTCGGTCTCCGCGGTACGGCGGCCCTACCAGGCCGCCCGGGCGGTGCCGCTGGTGTTCCGGGATACCCCGCTGGGCCAGATCCAGCCTGCCGGGTTGGAACGCGATACACCGCCGACCGGGTTGCTCTTCAACAGTATGTTCGGCGACGACAGCGACGACGAAAATGCGGACCGCATCGCAGTCCGCAGCCGCCGACGCGCCGTCCCGTCCTCCTGGTGCCAGCGCGCTAGAGTGACGGTAGCGTGCGGCGCAGCCTCAACCCCCTTAGGTCGCCCCGTGACCATCACCGGGAGGAGACTGCCTCCTCATAATAGTTACAACGGCTGCCCCAACCTTCCAACCGAAACGCATTACTGCTGCACGGCAGAAATAGGCAGAGTGGTGGTACCTACCCGCGCGGACTCACAAGAGGTCCTACCACCAGTAAAAAAATTTATCATTCTAAATTCTAAAATAATCTTTGAATATTAGATTATAAAGCGGTTTTGGATGTTCCATTTTTAATTTTGTTTGGTGTTTTTGTGTACAAGAAGAATATCAAAGAAAGTTATTAGGTAACATGCATTTTACTTAGAATTTATTCATAAGTAAATGTGTTATTTGAGAAAGAGAGAAATGTTACACTTTTTATTTGATTCCAAATCGAAATGTCGCAACTGGTCGCAACCTTTGTAGGGAACGACACAAGTACCTACACTTCCACGATATTATCTACAAATGCAAATGAGAGAATAAATGGATTTAAAAAGAAAACGGTGCATATAAAACTGGCTATTGCACTATTATGCATATTAACTGAATTTCTATTTAAATATAGAACACGACTTAGTTTTTAAATATAGAAACGATTTTTACTGGCCTAAATAAAGCGGTTTTTTATTCCGATGGTTTATATTTATTTATTTATTACGCTGCATGCATGGTAATGTACACTGCCGAACATGATGCTTAAGGCATACAGTCATTGGCGTGCCTGGTGTTAAGTGGTTAACTAAGCCACAGATATCACAAAGTCAATGCCGTCACCTACTTTTAGGATTAAGATAGGAATTTAATTTTATGATCCCCAATAATGAAAAGTTACAAAGTCCTTGGTATAATGCAGCATGGTGTCAGCCTACAAACGCATGCTCGCCGCACACCATACCGCAATTGTTTTATTTTATTGCAATGATAATGAATTGGTGAACGAGTTTACGGCTGGCCTAGCGTTAAGTGGTTACCGAATCCCACAGATACGAGGTTAAGGTCGCAACTGTATTGTATAGCGATTATCTCAAGCTTCAAACTCCGATATGACTGCTTCGCGAGAGAAATAGGCAGGCTTGTGATGCCTATCTCTTTTTATTGTCCTTGCAGACAGACGAGCATACGGCCCAACTCAGATTAAGTTTACTTATACCTAAACGGATTTATAATAAGCTCTACCACCGGTAATAGTCTTTTAATATTAATAGCAGCATGCTTTAGCGGCAGTAAATGACAAATTGTACATTGATAACTCTTAATTACCTAAATCCACTTACAATATACCGGGGAGAAAATTGTCATGATGACACGGACCAAGATATAATATTTAGGTAAGACAGACGGCGAATCTCCCCTTGACCCATATAAGAGTTGCTTCTTCGAATATCAATTCGTGATCCTGGTCTGCATAACATAAATGATGTATCTGAGTTTGTTCGGGTTCGTCTTAGGAATTACAGTATTATAATACGCATTGTGTTTAAATAAATTGATCTATTTGCTCAGTGGTGCGAAATGGTTGCAATGGTCGAAATGGTCGTGACTTCTCTTGTCCTGAATGAGATTGAGATACCTGATGTCAAGTATACTAAGGACCTGTGTGTGTAATCTGTTTAATAAAACTTATTTTACCAAATAACTGATGCGTGCGAAACTTTACTCTTAAACATCACATTCATTGTTTTATATCAAGATTTGAATGTAGCACTTGCTTGTTACTAGCAAGGAAGCGGACAATAGACATGGTCATAAAACGGTCTATTTATAAAATCCTGGGAATGGGGCTTACCCGGGTTGCGACCTCGCCCCTACGACCGAAGGTCGACTGGGAGCTCTTTAAGAGACGCCTAGTCGACCTTCCCGTAATTCAGGACCCCAACACCCCTGAGGGGGTCGACGACGCGGCAGTCCGCCTTGTCGACTCCATCAGGGGAGCGATCGACCAGGCGACGACTCTTGTGCCCAGCGGCGGGCCCAGAGGTATACTCCCGGCCCATCTGAAAGCGATTATTCGCCGGAAGAGGGGCCTGAGGAGGCTCTGGGCGACAACTCGTTGTCCCAGGATCAAGCGCGAGCTTAATGAGCTGGAAGCGGAGTTGGCGGCGAAGATTAGCTCCTATCGGGGCTATGCGTGGGAGGAACGGATCGAGGANAAAAAAAAAAAAAAAAAAAAAAAAAAAAAAAAAAAAAAAAAAAAAAAAAAAAAAAAAAAAAAAAAAAAAACCGTAGGAAGCAGACGACAGCAGCCGGCGCCGGGGAGACTCCTCCACGGGCATCACTCCACCCATGACAACAAGCCCATCGTATTATATATAAGTATTTATTATTTTGTCGATGTAGTGCAGCCGTGCACGCTGCGAACAGCGTACCTTCCCCAAGTCCTCCCCGCATCTACTTCACCCCTGCCCTATGTGGTAGGGAGTTTCAGCCCGGGTAGTGGGGTTTGCCCCGAGGCCCGTTCCGTGCCCCCGAAAGGGGGTACGACGACCCTTCTTCTTATAAAATCCGAGTTCAATTGTTGAATGAAAATTGCTTTCCCTTTCATTGTGTATCTGTTTTCGATATCTGTTCGTTTGTTCTGAATTTACTAGTAAATTCTCTGAGATACAAATCGAGGCCTTCATAGTTTAACTGATAAGCGGCCAGGGCTACTGCTAGCGCGTAATTAGAATACGCGGCGGCTCGAATTGGGTGCACACGTAGAAAGTTTTCTAAGTGAATATGTAAATATATTTTTTATTTTTTCTTTCTTAGATATGTGGACGAGCTCACAGCCCACCTGGTGTTAAGTGGTTACTGGAGCCCATAGACATCTACAACGTAAATGCGCCACACACCTTGAGATATAGTTCTAAGGTCTCAGTATAGTCACAACGGCTGCCCCACCCTTCCAACCGAAACGCATTACTGCTTCACGGCAGAAATAGGCGGGGTGGTGGTACCTACCCGTGCGGACTCACAAGAGGTCCTACCACCAGTAAAACTAGTCCGGCTATAGAATGAGCTCCCCTCCACGGTGTTTCCCGAGCGCTATGACATGTCCTTCTTCAAACGAGGCTTGTGGAGAGTATTAAACGGTAGGCAGCGGCTTGGCTCTGCCCTTGACATTGCTGAAGTCCATGGGCGACGGTAACCACTCACCATCAGGCGGGCCGTATGCTCATCTGCCTACAAAGGCAATAAAAAAAAAAACTAACCGTTTTTAAAAACGACTTTCATGTCGTTTTTTATGAACCGACTGCAAGGATTTGCTGTAGTACAATGCTCGTACAATTCAGACTTCTTAAGGTTCAAGGTTAGTGGCGGCATTCATATTGTGAATTTTAAGGTACCCGCAACCACTTAATAATAATGCAATGATTTAATTACATTAATTTCACATTTTGAAGACATCACTTCTCGCATTAAAATTGTATAATCTCAAAACTTACTAATTTCACAGGCGAGAGTTTTAAAGGTTTAACATATAATATTTTTAATATTAATCATATTTGTAACATTTATAAATAATAAATAAATAATAATTTATTATTTATAAATGTTATTAATATAATAAATAATATAAAAGTTATAATAAATAATAATTTATTTATTAACCTTGAAACATTTACACATAATAGTTTGCTAAAAACTCTCCACACTAGGCACTGCCTGTCTCGTGGAGAGTTTTTTTTACAGGAGTATCTTAAAACTAGTAATAACGGTGCTGAATATACAAGTAAATCAAAATAGTTAAGCGAAATATTATACATATATATATATATATACACTCACACACATATACATATATATGCATACACATACACATATATATAAAAAGAAAAGGAACAGGTGTAATGATTTTTACCATAAGTACGTGTTTAGGGTTACTTAATGCATTTCAGAAAGTCCTCCGAAAAAGAGTAGGACCAATTAAGCAGTTCTTTTATTAACTTTCTTTTAACTTCTTCGTAATTTAGGTTAAGAATTTTGTATTTTTTATTGAGTCTGTTATATAAGTAAGGTTTCATGTAGGAGCTAANTCAAAATAGTTAAGCGAAATATTATACATATATATATATATATACACTCACACACATATACA